GTTTAGGGTTTAATTTATAGGGTTTATAGGGATGAGAGTCGGGATCCTCGGCTTGGGGTTTTCGCGCGGGATGTGGCTTTAGCTTCGGGTTCCTGCTTGCCGGCATGGGCCGAACGAAAAGGGTCTTCCTGCTTCGACTCTGGCAGCCCTGAGGCAGAGGCACCGCAGATTTTTCTTCTTAGGGTTGGCGAAACAACGTCAGGAGTTGAAATCTCTGTCCCTTTGGCGTTCTTCTGCTCTGCTCCCCTCCATTCAAGGGCCGGTTGCGACTTTATGGTTTCCTGCTTGCACGAAGAAAAGCTGCTCCAAATGTATACGTGTGTTTAGCAATGACATATAGCATGTCCCCTGCACAAGAATGACACAGCATGGTCCACAAAAGTGTGCTTTCCAACAAGAACTGCCATGCAAAAAAACAAGCTCTACCTGCAGTGCACCGTACGTGCACGCTTTCATAAGCAATTTTCTTCCAACTTCAGATAGTTTTTTCGAACTTTCTGCGGAATCGAAAATGGCTGGTTTTGTGAGCTTATCGCTGGTGTCTTGCTCTTCCATAGGACCTGCACCGTTTGTGCAGTTTTGGCATAAGCCATTTTTTTCGATCTTTCTGCGGGTTTCAATTGTGGCTGTTTTTATGCGTTTGTCGCTTGCGCCTTGCGCTCCAATAGGACCTGCCATGGAAAAAGCAAGGCAATGCACCATAGGTGCAGTTTTGGCATAAGCCATTTTTTTCAGAACTTTCTGCGGTGTCAAAAATGGCTGCTTCTGTGCGTTTATCGCTTGTGCCTTGCTCTCCCATCGGGAAAAAGCTAGCTCCAGGCCTGCAATGCACCGTTTGTGCAGTTTTGGCATAAACTTTTTTTTTCGAACTTTCTGCGGTGTCAAAATGGCTGCTTCTGTGCGTTTATCGCTTGTGGCTCGGTCTTCAATAGGACCTGCCATGGAAAAAGCAAGCTCCAGGCCTGCAATGCATCGAATGTGGCTTTTGGCATAAGTCATTTTTTTCGAACTTTCTGCGGGTTTCAATTATGGCTGGCATTGTGCGTTTGGCAACTATGCATGCCTTTCGAATAGGAACTCTTGTAGAAAAAGAAAGCGCTATAGGCCTTTAGTGCGCCGTAGGTGCAATGCTTATCAAACCATTTTTGGAACTGATTGCTAGCAGTTTTTGCGGTGTTAATGGCAGCAAAAAGGACACCGAGCATGTCCCCTGCGCAAGAATGACACAACATGGCTCTGCACAGCGTGCGTCTTCAAGAACAAAGCAAATGAACAACTGCTGCAAGAGGCTTCACTGCATCCGTCACGACTGTTCTGATCTTCCGAATGGCAGCACAAGCTGCCTTGTCTCACAGAACGGCACATGAGAGTTCGGAAGGTCACCAGGTTACAAAAGCGCAGGATGTCGGCGTTAGAACAGAGCCTGATCTCAGAATGGCGGTCAGGACTGAGCGCTAGGCTCAATATTCTGCACCAGCAGAGCTACCAAAGCCTGCACAGCAGTACTGTTACCAAGTTGCGACGGAGCCATCCCTAAGAATGGTGGCCAAAAGCTCAATATTGGACGCAATATTCTGCATGAGCTGACAGTCTGCACAACAACACTACTTTTACCAAGCTACGACCGAGCCATCCCTAAGAATGGCGAGTGAGCAAACAGATCTTGCACAACACTACTGTCAACAGTTTGCGACGGAGCCATCCCTCAGAATGGCGGCAAAGGCTGAGCGCTGAGCTTCCTCTGCATAGCTGAGCAACAAAGCCTGCACAGCACTACTGTTACCATTACGACGGAGCCACCCCTAAGAATGGCGGCCAAAAGCTGAATGTTGGACGCAACGTTCTGCAGCGCTAACAGAGTCTGCACAGCACTACTGTTACCCGGTTACGACGGAGCCATCCCTAAGAATGGCGAGTGAGCAAACAGAGCTTGCACGACACTACTGTCACCAGTTTGCCACGGAGCCATCCCTCAGAATGGCGGCAAAGGCTGAGCGCTAAGCTTCCTTCTGCATGAGCCGAGCACCAAAGCCTGCACAGCACTACTGTTACCGTTACGCGGAGCCATCCCTAAGAATGGCGGCCAAAAGCTGAATGTTGGACGCAATCTTCTGCATGGGCACACAGAGTCTGCACAGCACTACTGTTACCAGGTTACGACGGAGCCATGCTTAAGAATGGCGAACACAGCTTGCACAACACTACTGTCACCAGTTTGCGACGGAGCCATCCCTCAGAATGGCGGCAAAGGCTGAGCGCTGGGCTTCCACTTCTGCACGAGCAGAGCGACCAAAGCCTGCACAGCACTACTGTTACCAGTGACGACGGAGCCATCCCTAAGAATGGCGGCCAAAAGCTGAAAATTGGACAATGTTCTGCATGAGCTAACAAAGTCTGCACAACACTGTTACCAGGTTACGACGAAGCCATCTCCAAGAATGGCGGCCAAGATGTGTTCTGCATGAGCAAACAGAGCTTGCACAACACTACTGTCACCAGGACGGAGCCATTTCTCAGAATGGCTGCGAAGGCTGAGCGCTGGGCATAATGTTCTGCATGAGCTGAGCACTCTGCATGAGCACACAGAGTCTGCACAACACTGTTACCAGGTTACGACGGTGCCATCAAGAGCTGAGTATGGGATGCAATGTTCTGCATGAGCAAACAGAGCTTTCACAACACTACTGTCACCAGGACGGAGCCATCCCTAGCGCTGGGCTTACTGTGCTGCATGAGCTGAGCTAAAAGCTACATTGTCCGGACTTGGAGAAGCGGCGAACATGTCAGCTTCAATTGCATTTGTGCAGCAGATCCAAGCTCCGATGCTTTTGCTGCCTGATCTCCAAGCCCCTAATTAAGCGTGAGATTTCCGAGTCCAATAAAGAGACGAGTGTAACAGCATGCACAATGATCACAATATTTGTGTCGTCTACCCAACACTGTGTCAACTACGTCTGCCTTGATTTTGCTGCCCGGTCTCCTGGCGCGCGTCCGATGCTGGACACTGCTGCGTGCTTTTCACTTTGCTGCCAGGCTTCCTAAAACAAGCCTGATACTTCGATTTTGCTGCCAGTCCCCCAAAAGCACATCTGACACTTTAACTTCGCTGCCAGTCTTCTAAAACGCCTTGGATATTTTGATGTCGCTGCCAGGCCCCCCAAACCAAGATGGATACTTCGAGTTTGCCGGCAGTCACCCAAAACACGTCTGATACTTTGTCTGTGCTGCCAGACCCTCCATCAAACCCTCTGCAAAGCGCCCCTCCGATCCACTGCCAGACCTCTAACACACGTCTGCTGCGCTGGGCGTCTAATATTTTTGATTTGCCGCCAGCCCCCCTAAAGCACGTCTGATACTTTGACTTTGCTGCCATGCCAGGCCTTCCATGCTGCTAGACCGCTCTCTGGTTGTGCTGCCAGGCCCCCAAAACCACGTCTGATACTTTGATTTTGCTGCTAGGCCTCTAAAGGACTGCAGTCTCTGAAAAACACGTCTGCTGCTGTGATTTTTGTGGCAAGTCCAGCCTAGCACCTCTGCTGCTTCCATTCGAGCTGCCAAAGGTGCTTTTCAGTCTGCAGTCGGAGCGTCATCTGCGCTTGCCAAAACCGCCGGCTTCATGAGCACGGCAGGTCATGTACACTGCCATTCAGCTCATATCGAAACCGAAACCAAAGGGGTCTTCCTCAGCATCTGGATCTGCTGCAAGAGGGAGCGGGGATGCTACTGGGATTGGACGCCGCACATCTTCGTTGATGTCGACCCACTGGACGCGACGCTTGATGGCCTTAACGTGTTCTTCCATCCGGGCCTCCACCGGGAAGAAGTTGACACTTCGATAGTTGGTTGTAAAAATTCTGATCGTCCCTGCCGGAATGAAAGCATCGTCGTTTCTGCAATGCGTGCATCGAGGCTTCTGGACGTCAAGCCAGCTTTTCACGTCATCCACTTCGAGCCTGGAGAAGTTGACATCGTCAATCACCAGCCCTTCACCGCCCCGAAAGTTGATCTTCTTGGCAGCGTCTAGCTTGTCCAAGAAGAAGAACGGTCCGGTCAGCTCATACATGACTGCACAAGCCAACTCTGTCTTACCAAGTCCACCTTCACCATGCAAGATGAGAACCTTTTCCCCACGGCCATGGTCCATCCAATGCTGAACTCCGTCGGGAACCTTGAATGCCGAGAGTGGGTACTGGACCGTCTTCTGGAGCATGCCCTGAGGCATGGACAACCCCTCAAAGCTTTCCGCAGGACGCCGCCCACATCTTTGGTTTCCAAGTAGTTCCACATCAAGTCCTCTCCCCCTGCTTTCAACCTTTTGGCCAATCGCCAAACATCAGCCTCATCAACGCAACGGTTCTCTATGACGTTTCGCAGGTTTTCTGCCTGCGTGGCTTTGATCTGCTGCTGGACTTCAGCGCTGTTGCGATGTAGCATCTTAGCATCAACCTGGTTGATGACTTCAAGAGCGTTCTCTTTGGTAAAGCTTGGGGGCCAAAACAAGCAAGAAGGATCTAAGTCCTTCTGCAGCTTCTTAGCTGAAGGCAAGAGGACATACGCAAGATAGGATGCCCACCCTGCGCGTGGAAACGTGAAAAATCCTTTGCACCCTAAAGCTCCAAGATCTACGCAGATCTTGGCGTGGGCAAAGGGACTGGCCATCTTCATGACAATGTGGTAATGAACCTCCCTTTCTTCTTGTCCTGGAGCCCACTTTTTGTGAGGTTCCTGCGCGATCACCATGGCTTTCAAGCCCTCAAGGAAATTCCGCTTTTGAAGAACTCCACGGAACTTGGTGCCCAAGACTTCTTTGGTCCAGTCAGCTGGCTTGAAAACGCCTAACTTCTCCCGGTCTGCCAAAGTCTTGCCGTAAGTGCCTTAGCGACAATAGTGATGTGATGTTTGGAAGCACCGAGAACCATACCACAACAATGAAACTGACGCCGTCAAGCGACGAGGACATGGCCACATGAACATGGCGCAAGCTCCTCGCGCTGCCGTTGCGGCTGGTCGTTTGCCAGATTCACTGGCTGAGGAGCTACCTTCCGCAACCACCATTTCTGGGTCCGAGGACGAGCTGCTGTCGCTTTCGCTGTCCTGCCAAAATGGAAGGAGGGTCGACTTGGAATCCAATCCCAAGGATTCCAACTTTACGAGGGTTTGTTTTACAAAAAGCCGCAGAAAGCTATCCAACTTTACGATGCCATTCCCCTTAGATCGGAAGCAAAAAGTAAAGTTACCAAGTGCGGGCAGGGGCCACTTTACGATGCAATTCCCCCTTAGAGAGGCAAATCGTAAAGTCCAAAGCGTCCGAAGAGAAAAGGATTTGGAAATCTTTTTGAGAAGCATTGTGGACTTTACGATGTGTGTCCGTTCGAAGGGGAAGTATACCATAAAGTTTGTATTTCGGCGCATCTTGGCACTTTATTTTCTGTCCGTTCTAAGGGGGATTATACCGTAAAGTTGGCATTTCGGCACATCTTGGACGTTACGCATATCCTCCCTGCTAAGGGGAATCGCATCAGAAAGTTGGATTCGCATGGTGCGTGGACTGCCTTACTGCCCGCCCCCAACAGGAATTACAGCAAAAGTTGTGCTGGCCAGGTCTTGGTGCCAAAATGGCTGCTTTTCTGCGCTTATCGCTTGTGTCTGGCTCTCCAATAGGACCTGCCGCAGAAAAAGCAAGCTCCAGGCTTGCAATGCACCGT